TGCAATTGAAATGTTTGATCGATCCTCATGTAGTGTTTGTTCTTACTCTTTTCTTCTCTTGATCCACTTTCCCTTAGTCTGTTTGACCTCAGAAGCTTCATTAAAAACTGTAATTTTCTGTTCTTTACGTTCATTAAATTGAAGTATATATCAACAAATATAAAAGAGGTGACGGCTAGATTTTCCACACTTAATGCAAAATTTCTGGCGAAAAACTGTAAAACGTCGTAAAAGCGTCTCCGTATCACAGGCACTTGGGCTATGGACCCCCCCCCCTCCATTTTTTTTTCTTTTTAAATCTGGGGTTGAGTCACCTTTTTCCTATTTTTGTATTCTAATATGCACTAAATGTTATCAATTATGTAACTCTTTTGTCTCTATAAGCTGTTTTTAAATATATCGTTTTCGACTGATACATAAAAAGAGAGAAGGCTTAATGCAACTCTTTTCTTGTCGACAGCCTCACCTCGCTTAAACTTCGCCGGTATTTTCGGGCGTCATCATTAAGTGTAATGTCATTCGGAACATTAAATGCCAGAGGGAATAAATCCCGAATTTTCTCTTCATATTACTTGGAACGGTAAGTTCTGTGTATAACAAGATACCTGTAACTAGCAGATTCTGATGGATGAAGATTAACTTTTAACATACGACCTGGACAACCAAATTTCAAAATATTGTTAATACAAAGCCTGGATTTTTTTTTAATGCAGAACATTTGTAAAGTTGGCCGTTCACGGTAGCTCAGTTGGTAGAGCGCTCGCTCCGTGATCGGGAGGTCGTGAGTTCGAATTCGGCCGCGACAGACCTAAGTCGATAAAAAATAGGTAGCAACTGTTCCTTCGCCATGCGCTCGGCACTTTGAAGTGAAAGTTGCGGGTCCTTCGGATGAGACCTTAAAAACCGAGGCCCCGTGTCACGGCAGGCGTTGGCACGATAAAGATCCCTCACTGCTCAATGACTTTGAGTGCCGAGTAAAGGTCAAAATTTGAAGCCCTTCACCGGTATATGGTGACGTCTCTATATGAGTGAAAAATTCTCGAATGGGACGTAAAACAATATACAATCAATCATTTGTAAAGTTAGAGTTACCGTTATTGCACTTCCGTCCCAGCTGGTACACATCAACAAAATTTACCCTAGATGCGGGTGATTAATCGAAATATTTACAAATCGGGGGCACATAAAAATTAAATGGAAATATGAAAAGGAAGAAAAATGTGTAACAAATTTATTGACGTATGCATATTCCATGTGTTCTTATGCTTTAGATAAATAATCAGGCGAAGCTAGTTTAAGCGAGATGAGGCTGTCGACAAGAAAAGAGTTGCAAGCCTTCTCTCTTTTTATGTATCAGTCGAAAACGATATATTTAAAAACAGCTTATAGAGACAAAAGAGTTACATAATTGATAACATATAGTGCATATTAGAATACAAAAATAGGAAAAAGGTGCCTCGACCCAGATTTAAAAAGAAAAAAATTGAGAGGGGGGGGGATACCCCAAGTGCCTGTGCTCCGTATGAGTGAAAAATTCTCGAGAGGGACGTTAAACAACATACATAGAAACAAACTTGTAGAATATACTTTGTAAACTTGTGAATTGCGCGGCTTTACTTGAAACATGTAGAAAACTGATCGACAAGTTGCAACACAATGAACACTTTCAAGTTAACTTGCAAAACATTCAAGTGAAATATCTTGTTTTACATAAGTATGATGTCAGGCGGGTCAAAATAAGAGTAAATTTCGAAGTACCCATACCAGAGAAGCAAAGTTTACAACATTAAACATACAAAAAAGTCAGCTCAGTTGTATTTGCAAAACCACTGACATAATTTGATTAAGTGAGCTTTTGCCCTTTAATTTACTCTACTTAACATAGGACACCTTAACATGAAACTGAAACACTACTCCCCCCCTCTCATTATTTCTCTCCCATCCGCTCATCTCTCTCTCCACTCCACGTATTCTCTCTCTGTTCTCTCTCTCTTTCCCCTCACCCCATACTCCCTCCTCCTCACTCTCTCCCCACTCGCTCTCTCCCCCACACTCTCTCTGTTCTCTCTCTCCCTCCCCTCTCCCTCTCCCCTCGCTCTCTCCCCACTCTCTCCCTCTCTCTTTATTTATTTCTTTCCTTGTGACTCACGTTACACATTGGCCTCGAAAAATAAATTGTATATATATGCCTTTTAAATATTTGTTTCATAGTTTTTACAATAAAAATAATGAGAAAAATACTTATTCTACAACAAAGAAAACATTTTTATCGTTATTTTAAAATAAATCATGAAATGTTTATTCTTGATGTTTTTGCTTAAAAATGGATTTAGCAGAAATTTTTATTTATGCAAAAAATGAATGCAGTTTAAAATTATACGGACGATAACTTCACACAACAGAAAATACTGCTTTCCAGTTCATAATTAGATCATTGCGTTGTTTGCGTATTTAATGAAGAAGAATTTTATATGCTTGAAGAACAATACTTATATGTTTCCTAACATGCAAGGAAAATGATATGTCAGCTTGAAATCCCAATTGAATATTATTTGTTGTACCGTTACGAAAAGTATCTAAATTATCCACATGCTGAGAGGAGGTCTATAAAATATTCTTTATTTGACCAAGAATGTAATAAGGGTTTGACATTCACTTTCCCTTTCCCTCCTATGCATTCACTTTACTTAAATGTTATATATTAATAATTTTTATCCTGTTCAGATATCGTGTTGTTGCGTTGAATGTTAGCCAAAATGAACTTGCATCATGATTCTCTCGTTGTTCTACGCATTACGCGATATGTCATATTTTCTCATTGCATATGAATGTTCGTTTGGTGCTTTATTCAAATGCGTACTGTTAATAAAACCTACATGTAATCTTTACCTCTTGCATGGTTCTACTCTACTTTCTACTCTACTAACCATAGCTGTTAATGGAATCAGGATAGTGTTAATTGATTTACCGTTGGGCCATCAGTGTAATTTGAGTAAATGTTCACCTTATAACAGGCCTTAGCCATGCTTCTGGAAAATTACAATCATTCCATTAAGCAGTAGAGCCATTCAATAAAAAAAAAAAAGAGCCATGCAAAATGTGTGCTAAAAATTTTACAAGGTTGCCGCTGTCGCGCATACCGCCCTCCTCAAGCCATGTAACATTATAGAGATAAAATCTGTAAATCGTAATGAATTTAAAACAACTTGCATTACAGTGCACATATGCATTATGTAAATAAAATCATTATAAGAGGATTTTCGATGAAAGGAAAAGAAGATTTCTATATTATTCCTATATTTTTTGCACACGCAACTTCAAATGTGCTAATCTAATATTGCCAATCATACTCAAGAAAAAATTACTAGAATTAGACTAAGAAGCTTTTTTTCGTAATGCAACATTCTGTTTTTTTATATTGGTAAATATTTTACGTGTAACTACATGTAGAATGGGGAAAGACGATACTGCCGTATATAAACTTGTGTCAATTCTTGGTATACCATTTAACACCTCTTTTTTAAGCAATCTTTTCTTTTTATGTAAAAAGCCTCATTTTGTTAAAGATTTTGTTGACACTAACAAACCACAAAAGACATTGGTAAAGATTTTGAGCTAATCACTTTTTGTACCCCTGATATCGAAGGTCAGAGGCATGTTGATTTACACAATTTATTTTTTCACGAATGTAATCTTCCCTATATTTTTATGAGAAGAAGTTTGAGACTTTATTCATAGAAAATCAAAGATATTTACGAAATCGAATTTTCTTATCAATCTCCCATTTTTTTCAGGCAAATTTATTTGGGTATGGTTCCAAAACGTTAACCTTTCTTATAACTTCTAAAGAAACCAGAAGTCTCTGATGAGACTGTAGCTCTACTGGTTTGTACTTAAAACAAAGGAAGATAAAAGTAGCACTTGAACTTGAAACTTTGCAACAGCAATAAATAGAATAATGATCCTTGGTTTAGTCTCTTTTTGTGGCAAGATTTATTGCAATCCTCAAAACTGTAGGAGTAGTAGCCTTTAAAAAAAAAATTACAGAAATTTCGATTTTAGTAACCATGCTAACAATCATTCAACAAAATAAAAAAAAAAAAATAAGACAATTATGTACCTTAGTGTAGTCTAATTGTGTGCCAAGTTATAAAAATCAAATCAAAACTGTAGGAATAGTAACATTTTGAAAGTATTTCAAGGAAATTTTTATTTTTAGTAACCATGACAACACCATTCATCGAAATCAAAAACCGATAAACAAAATTATGTATCTTAGTGTCATCTGCTTGTGTGCCAAGTAATACTGAAATCAGACCAAAACTGTGGAAGCAGTAGCGTTTTGAAAGTTTTTCACAGAAATTTCTATTTTTAGTGACCATAGGAACACCGTTCATCGAAATCAAAAATCGATATACAGAAATATGTATCTTAGTGTAGTCTACTTGTGTGTCAAGTTATATCGAAATCAGATCAAAACTGTAGGAGGAGTAGCGTTTTGAAAGTTTTTCACAAAAATTTCTTTTTTAAGTAACCATGGCAACATCGTTCTTTGAAATCAAAAACCGATAAAGAGAATTGTGTATCTTAGTGAAGTCTACTTGTGTGCCAAGTTATATTGAAATCAGACCAAAACTGTAGGAGTAGTAGCGTTTTGAAATTACTTTTCAGAAATCTCTATTTTTAGTAATCATGGCAACACCGTTCATCGAAATCAAAAACCGATATAAAGAATTATGTATCTTAATGTATTCTACTTGTGTGTCAAGTTATATTGAAATCGGACTAAAACTGTAGGAGGAGTAGCATTTTGAAAAATTAATTGTTTATAGACGGACGGACAGACAGACAGACAGCTAGACGGACGGACGACGGACACCTTACTATCGCATAAGTTCTTCTGGTCTCTGACCAGTAGAGCTAAAAACGAAGACTATATTTTTATTTGTTGCACATTATTTTCCCAGAGTAAAATCAAAAAGGATTACAGTTATGGAAGCTATACATTTTTTTTATTTATATGTTTCTCTTTCTTACACCACTTAAGATAATGATCTTGATTTTTTAAAAGAATTACAGCCGTGGAAACTTATTTTATAAAATGTGATTACAAAAATCAAAGAATGTACGTACATGTATTCTTGCTCTAATAGTAATAGAACATCATTATAGCCTTGTTAGGCTTTCCTTTAATGGATAAAACATCTTGTATTATTAGTGTAAAATATAGTATAACCTTTTAATTTTGTCATTTAAACTTTAAAGCTTTTAGAAATGAACACTTCAAATCACAAGGCTGCATCATTTAACCCCTATTTACATGTATTTGCCTAACAAGAATTTTCCTACCAAAACCATGCAGTTTTCTTCTGGTATCAAACAAGATGTGTTTGTGAAACACTGATGCCCCGGTATGGCAAATTATAGCAAAGGTTAAACTTTCTCAAATGCAAATCAAATATGTTGGTACCTTAAGTAAGGTCTTGTCTCGAGGAATAAACCTGTGAAATATGAAAGCCCTAGCAGCAACCATTGAATAGATATGGAAAAGGTTAAAGTTTTTTCAAAAGTATGTCAAACATCAAGGTCTAGGTCAAATGGTCAAAATTAATGGTGCCCAAGGAAACGCCTTCTCCCAAGAAATACACAACTGAAATATGAAACCCGAAGCACCAATAGTTCAAAAGTTATGACCAGGTTAAAGTTTCCCAAAAGGAGTCAAACACCAAGGGTCAAAGTTGTTGGTATCCAAAGAAAGGTCTTGTCACAAGGATTACAAATATGAAGAATAAAATCCCCAACACCAACCGTTCAAAAATTAGGGCCAAGGTTAAAGTTTTGCTAAAGTAGGTCAAACTCAAAGGTTAAGGTCAAAGTTGTTGGTATCCAAAGGAAGGTCTTGTCACAAGGATTACACATGTTAAGTATGAAAGTCTTAGCACCAATTGTTCTAATTAAAGCCAAGTCATTATTCTACAGGGTCATTTTTCTACAATCCACATGGCGAAAAATGACCCCAAGGCCATAATTTCTACAAAAAGAAGGTCATTTTTCTACATAATATTGACCAGGGGGACAAATTTCTATGTAGACAAATGATCCCCGGTCAATATTCTACGGGAGTCACTTTTCGTCGTTACACCGGGCGGAGGACTGCAAATTTTGACCTATACTCGGCACTCAAGGCCATTGAGCAGAGAGAGATATTTTTCGTGGCAGCACGAGACCTCGGTTAATACGATCTCATCCAAAGGACCGGTCTCCAGGTCCCGCAGTGGGATTCGAACCTGCAACGTAAGGATCAACTCCTTACTCCGCGACTATACAGCAAACGCCCTACCCACTGTGCCACTTGGGCGACACTTCTTTTTAGAAGAAATGTGGAAAGATTTATATAGAGCATCAGCTGTCTGTAGTATTTAAAACTTTTTAGTTTTTATACATTTGTTCTATACTATGTAATATCAATTACCTCTTCACTTATTCTATATGTTGTATATTATTATACCCCCATTGATAAGTGTGGGGGGGGTGTAGTGATGGAGTGTCCGTCCGTCTGTACGTCCTTCTGTCCGTGCGTTACGCGTTGGATTATCCCTCTCTTATCCACAACTCCTCCTTTACCACTGAATAAAATTTAACAATTTCAGAGAATCTTTATTACATAGTGCCATTGTGCACCTCCTCCTTTAAATTTTGACCAAAGAGGTTTTCCCATAGCAAAAATGGACTCTGCAAAATTCTGTATTAGAAACTCTGGAAAAAAATGATCATGTTACTTAAATTGTACCCTGAGTTACATCACAAAGCATTGGTGACCTGAGGGTATTTTTTAACTGGAAAAAGATAAAAATTTACCGATCTCCAAAAAACTCATCAGTTTTAAAATGTAATCACTTGCATGTACATTGGTGCAATTAGAAAATTTCGGTTTTGAAGTATACAACAATACTTAGAGATTATGGAAATACCACAAATTGTAGTTATAAGAGACAACTGGGGGTTACATTTTTACAAGTACAAATTGGTCAACACAGAAGTCCGTAAATGTACATGTATATTGGCATCTATAATAAAATCACTGGTTCGTTAATCTACAGTCTCTGGTTCCCAAAACACGTACGTTATCCAATAAATGATATTGAATACTATGAAGACAGTGGGAAAAACAACACGTGATATTTTGTCCACCAATCGTGCCCTTTCTCTGTCCTCGAGATTTCTAAAACACCAACATTTCTTCTTTTCCTTTTCTTCTTCCTAAAAAAAGATAACGTTTGCTAATTATATTTTACGTGTAGTATGTTTACGTGTTTGTAAAAGCTAATTTTCTTTTTAAAGAGTCTGGTTTATTTAGGTCTCTGTCTGATTTGAACACAATTCACAGTACTGGTAGTACTGGTAGGGTATTTGTAAACTTACCTCCTCCTCCTTAGCTTCGTTCATATTTGACATCACAGATTTTCCTCTTCGTTGTTCAACCCTTGCTAATACATTCACATACGCAAATTCAATTAAAGCAGCAAACACAAATATCAAACACGTTGACATCCATATGTCAATGGCCTTTACATATGAGACTCGAGGCAATGAGGCTTTTGCGCCTGAGCTTTGTGTCGTCATAGTTAGAACTGTCAACAACCCTAAGGAAATTCGGGCTGGTGTTGATTCCACATTCAACCAAAATGATACCCAGGATAATATCACAATGAGGCAACTTGGCACATAAACCTGGATGATGTAATATCCCAGAGTTCGGTGAAGATGTAGCTCCATCTTTAAACAGGTGTAGGTGACTGTAAAAAAAAATGTAGACTGGAGAAGATTTAAAAAAAAAATATTTTAAAAAATATTCCTATGTTAAACTTTAATCGCCAATTGTTGCCCCGGCCTACACCAGAGGTCATGTTTTGAATTTGAATCTACACTACCTGAGGATGCTTTCATTTAAATATGACTAATTGTGGCTAAAAGCATTTTTGAAAAGAAGATTTTTCTACATCTTCCTATAATTTTGATCCCCTCTTGTCGCCCCAGACTACCCCGGGGTCAGGGTTCGAACAAACTTGAATCTACACTACCTGAAGATGCTTCTCTATTAAGATGACTATTCCTGGTTTTGCTGATCTTGAGAAGATTTTTAAAGATATTACCTACATATTCCTGTATATAAATTTGATCCCCTCTTGTTACCCCGCCCTACCCCTGGCGGTCATTATTTGAATAAACTTCAATGTATATTTTGTAATGAAACTTTTATACAAATTTCATTTTGTCTGGTCCAGCGGTTCATGGGTGATGACTCTCTCTTGATTAATCTTCACTATTGATTTTGTAGCCAAAAAGTGAAAGGTCAAGGTCACAACTTCGTTTGTAGTATGAATACTCTTTACTCTCCGGATGACATCTCTAAATATTACTAAGCTTTAGCAATAAAATTTCAGATCATCACCTTCTAATTTTACTGACTTAAAAATGACTCCTATTTATATTGTCGTCAAAAGTTCATTGTCGGAAATTCAAATATTGTGGTATATCTTTTTAACTAATAATAAAGATCCTTTTTGATTTGGAGCCCAAACGTGATTGGTCAAAATTACAAGTTCATATAGGGTATGAACTGGTTTCCAGACTCATTTTAATACTGTCTATAACTAAAACGTGACCCATATTTTTCGAGGTTAAGGAGTCAAAGGTCAAAGTCACACACTTGTGAATTACTTCAAATTATTTCTGGATAATATGTCAAGTAAAGTTTAAGACGTTATCTTGTTTCTGTCGAAAATAATTTGAAAACCCTTTAATATGTATCAGATGAAACCCGATGCTTGTGAATTTCCCATGTTACCCCTGTGATAATAAGTTGAATGGTCACCTTCAACCCCCTGATGGCTTCTCCAAAAGCAGTTCGGCGTTTTCCAAAATTAATTCCATTTTACCATTTAAATTTATTTTTACATATTACAAAGTATATATATATCTAAACTCTTAATTAAAATAGTTCAACCAAAAAAACATCACTTCCAAGTGAAGTATAAAATAAATCAATTACTGAATATATTGACTTGTCCTTGTAGATCAAAAAGATTAAAGCCATTTTTTAATAAAGACGTAGTGCAGACTCGAATGAACTACATGTAGCTTTAAAATATTGATTTTACCATTAAGCTCATTAATCATCGTGTATGTTACAAATGTCATGAACACAAGAATGTTTCAGATTAAATATCAACATTATGTATTAACATACATTTAATGAATAATTCTGCATAGTTAACCCAAAGCACAACCAAGGAAGCATAATATATCTCTTAAACAAACATAGCGGATTTCGATATTAAATAAGGAATTCAATATACATTATAGAGAGAGGGAGAGAGAGAGAGAGAATACCCACCACCAGCGTAAGTAACGTCACATCTGGACTCCTTAATGTTCTGCATTTCGAATTGAGGAAGTTGAAGATTGTCTGATGTTTCTACAGGAGTTTCGTGCCATCGCATAAATAGCGTCTCTGTACTGTATCCATCTAAAAGAGAAACAATATAACAAATCTGAGTACATCTGTTTCTGAAAAAAAATATTCTTTTAAAAAGTGTTTGTCGTTGTTTCAACCTCTGCCAATAGCATAGAATGTGTTTGGTTTATTAGTTTTGTTTGATTTGAAAATTCGGCAAAAGTTGCTCATGTAAATATTATAGTTTTACATGTGTTTTTTTTTTAAATCTGAAATTCTCTTAGGATCCTTTATCAAAAGAATTAATGAATAATGAATGTACTTTTCCATGTAAGAAAATGCTATGCAAACTCTAGGAGGAAATTGATCGGAAATCGTTCTTACAGCTTTCCATAACAATGGCGCATTTTTGATCGTCTAGGGGATATTTCTGCAGATCCATAGTACAAGAAAACACTGCTGTAACTCTGAAATGATAAATCAAGCTACATACAAGCCTAATTATGATTGAAAGGGTCCACAAGTCTATAGCGGCCATTAACCAATTACTATTTCATTTTTATCTCGAAGATAAAGAGCAATTTCTGGAAAAAAAAAATGATCCGAGCACTTATTATAGAGAGATTACAGAGTCCCAAGAGACATGTGAAAAAAGTGTATTTTCAAGGAAAACAATAGCGTGTTTTACTATTAGTTTCATCACTATTTAACTCTGAAAAGTCCTGTAATGCAATGGCTAAAAGATTTTGTGAAAACTCCTAGATCATGTTTAACACAACTAAATCCCACTGCTTTCTCGAAAAAGTTTAATTTGTGAATTAAGAGGTCTTCTTCCAGCTTAAAAAAAGTTTAAAAACTAATATCAAAACATCACAAATGACTCCTTAAAACGAACATCACAAATGACCTCTTAAAACGAACCAAATTTGCCTTTTAGTTGGCCAACAAGGGAGCAGGTTAAGAAGGATGGACAGTTTAAAAAAAACTTCAAAAAGATTAAGATAAGAATTGTCATAATTATAAATTTCAGTACAGCCTCGAGATCCATTTCAGTGATGAAATTGGTTTTTACCACTTAGATATAAAAAAAAAAAACCATGTACATTCTGACGCTCTACCAATGTTTGAAGATCCATTTTTAAAAAAAAAGCAGCTATACTTAATAGCTGTAAATACTAGTACATAACATCAAACCATAATAAAAATAGTAATCATCATCATTCTTCATCGTTATCGACATCAGCTGAACTTTCGGTTGTCGTTACAAACGCATACCAGAGACATGTTTATCCACAACACAAATGTCAGTTTTGATTATGATTACTGTTTACCTCATACTGTATACAATGAGGCCATTCGGATAGACGTGCATCAATTTATTAGGAACGGTGACATCGTGGACGTCTGCTTTCTTCTCATTTACGAAGTAGAGGTCAGGAACCCAGACATCCGCCATTCGCCTATTGTCTAGCTCAAGACGTGTCATGTTTAAAGCAGGGGTGTAATTCATACGGTTATCAATCCATCTTTGTCTCAAAAAGAAGCTCATTGAAAAATCCTAAAAATATTATACACAGATCACAGTGTTTGATGTAGGGAGTAAGCTATGCCGCCACCTTTGAAATTCACCCTTTTCAATTTTTTTTCTCTCCCAAAGCATTTATGTTATCTCTACAGACAATTTCAGTCTTTCAAATTATCATAATTTAATGTTATATATATTTCTCTGATAAAATATTTATTCAGGACACAAGAGCTTATAATTTTGAACGTTTTATTTAATGCTGTAAAATCAATCATTTTCGTTGGTTTATTTTTTCATTGTTTCAGTGATATGAAGAGACCCACAAGTTTATGTTCTCCATAAAATGTGAAAATTTCAGACTACAGTATGATTTTCTTATATCAGGATATCAAATCCCCAAGGATCAGTATTTTTCTCTTAGACCATGAATATTTGACCCAACGAAAATAATTTATTTTACAGAAGTACTACATACCATTGTAGCTTCATTGATCGTGTCAACACTAATGATGTAAAACTGCACAGAAGAATTGACGGGAGTGTCTGAAAATAAATTAAAAAAGGGAGTATTAAGATTTTAAATGAATTCAGTCAGTAAGAAAAAGAGATACATTACATGAAAATTTAATAAAAAGAACATTTATTAAATACGAATTGTTCATTTCATATTGTTATACATACAATAACCAAGGCATTATAATTATGTACTAGTGTCGTTTGCTGGGATAATTTCAGCATTTGAGTTTTAAACAACAAGAACTAAAGTCTGGACACCACCAAAAAAAAATGCGTCCAAATCAAGGAAACAGTCGTCAGATAACGAAGAAAATATTGGTGTTAACAACATTTAACTTATAGATTCCAACCACTATCCTGGCCCCAAGACCATAAACTGACTTAAGTCAAAAATTTGATTTTGAATATCTTAAGTTTCATTTAACGTATTAGCTTAAAAATTTGCAATTGTGCATAACACTCCAATTCAAACATATGAAAATTTTATTTTATAACCAAAATTATTTTGAAAGTTATATCGATTTGAAATTTTGACTTACGTGTGTTCTCAGTTTATGGTCTTGGGGCCTGGAATGTTTGTCGATGGAAGCAATATCCGACTTTTCTTTGATTTCCATGCAGGTATGACATAAACAGGTTGAGTTTTCCCCTTAAGAATGTTTTCAAAGTCATCGTACACATATAAGTATTTTAAAGGTATCCGACTCACATTAGGACACATGCAATTTTCTAACCTTAACTATTCATCATGTATTTAATACTCTGATATTAATTCAAAGCATTTTAGAGTAGAAAAGGATTTACCAGGAGAAGTTTTCAAAAGTGTAATTACCTAAACAGTAATTAACCAGTTATTAATTAATGAAGATTGCATTGAGTTCTATGGAGACAAGCAAATTTTTTGGGGAAAATCAAATACTAAGAATATCAATAAATGCTGTGGTGGAAAGATGTATTTAATCATCAGGAATAACAAAATGATTGAAAACTTTTTTTTTATTTTTACCAGATAGAGTTTTTATAATTGATTTTTATTGATTAAAAGCAAAGGGGGATAACCCTTCCAGGACAGGACAAGGTTGAAAATAAGGACACATTCCACTCTTACAAACTGAAGATTATGTCTAAATATACTGAGTATTCAGTCCATACATATTTGTTATTGACCTTTTGCACCGGCAAATACATAAATTTGTTCATCTGGTCACCTTACACCTCCGTAGCACGTTTAAGACTAAATTGTTAAATGTACTCTACACATCGTGTTCATAACACTTCTAGGACTCAATGTGACGTAAATCTTTGATCCTAATTGAACTGACCTTTCTGAGGATGTCTCGACCACTGTGGCGAATTTGATGCTAAATGTCAAGTGCTTCACTTCATATATGTCCACAACATTGGTAAGAAGATATCCTAAACTATCTTCGACTTTAAACCCTCAAATGAATATGTGAGTTCATGTACCCCCTGTAGTATGTTTGACATTGGAAGGTCAAATACAACTCCATATACTTAATCACAATGATGTTAAGGACGCATACAAGGGCAGTTATGGTATATTCCCTTGCATATTTGTTGTGAGATTTGAGCCGAGCAAAGCCAAAGAAACCCGATACATGTGTAAAAAAGTCGGATATTAATCTAACATCGAGCAAATCGCATCAATTTGCCAATAAATTCCTTTTCTATACTGCAAAGTATATTACCATTGTCGTAATTTGGTGGAATTTTCCCATCATAATCTGTAAAGATTTCTTGTAATATCTTTTCCCTACAAAAAAAAAATAACATTAAAATTTACATTAATTTTACTTTTGATATGATTCAAGCGATATCTATTTTTGCAGAATCTATAACATGAACTAGAATTATAATGTTAAAATCAAATTTACACTCACGAGTAAAATGTTAAAAATAAAAAAAATATACAGAGATTATAAAAGCAATAAAGCATAATTACAAGTACATAGATTATATACAAAGGACCATTTTCTATAAGGTCGTTTTGCGGCCTACAATGACTTCAAATTTTCAAGCAGTACTTTTCTCTTGAAAAACTGCATGAATCAGTAGGCTAATAATCCAGTTTAATGATATTAAAATGAAAATTGGTTAATGATGTTATAGTATTTGTTTTGATATAAGGTCACAAAGTAATGTACTATCGGTCCGTATTAGCATTAGGGTAATGGGAAAACTCAATAGGGTGGGTGTGTTAGGCAACTCCTATACATGTTATAACCACCTTTAACCAACACAAATATGTGCTTGTAAACTTCTTATAAACATAAAAATTGACTACCAGATTATGAACCTTGGTTAAAGGTGGTTAGGACATGTAATAAAAAATTGTTCGCTTCATTTTTACGATATTTGCAGGAAAATCTAATGAATGAAAATGAAGGCTTATGTAGATTATTTCATATTATAAACTTCAGTTAGAGCACATGTTTCTGTTGAATAAACAAAAATAATATAAGCCCTGCATTTTTACTCGAAAAATGTCAATTTTTACCCAAAAATCTAAAATCAAAGGACTGGAAAGACTGGATGTTGTAAAATTACACGTGAAGACAATTCTCATGAACTGTCTGATTGAAATAAAGAAAAAATAACTTTTTTTACATATAAAGGTGTGAATACAAGTTATTAATTACAATTTTTATTATTATTATTATAGTTTACTTTATTTTTGCTACATTTTTGTATTTATTCTTTAGGAGTAAAGCATATCTGTTAGTACTACTTTTAGTAGTGGTAAAAGCTATATTTTTTGTTGTGGGAAGATACATTTTCTATTTTTTTTATTAACTAATTTTTCTATAGGTACATATTCTATAGGCAACTTTTAAAGATAAGGAATTACTTATGGGATGGTTTCATATAATGAGAATTCTCGCCCCAATCTTTCAGAGGGACCCTTATATTTTTCCGTATGAGTGACATAAGATCCAAGTAATTTGTGTTACCTGGGTGTTGAAAGGACTCGATCAATCTATTTGGATGTCAGGAAGCAACACGCATCTTTGTTAGCATTTTAGCTACAAGAACAGCAGTTCTGTCTTTGCCAAGGGGGAGAAGGGTTCCTAAGGTCACATGTGATTGATAATTGATATCTGCATTACCCCATTTTAATTTTTTTCACCCAGATGCAGAGATTATCTGCTTAAGGTGAAGTGTCACAATTTTGATTTCATTATTGAAGGGACCTCCTTTTTTAAAGGTTATACCCAAAAGACACAATGACATTCACCTTTAAAAACGAAGACTTAGCAAAGGGACAGTCACTAGCCTCGTTAAATGTCTTATTTTTGACGCGGCACTAAGAACAAGAATTGAACCCTACGGCCTCAAAGTTCGAAGGCGAGCGGCAAAGCCGTAGGGCCCATTTTGTACATTTGTGTGATATTAGTCCATGGATATACTAAAACTTTTGACATGGATAGTGGAAGGAATGGTTGAAAAGATTCCCATTTTTATTAAGTTCTGTTAAAAGGGGTGAGGGTGATGACAGGGTCTTGACTTTTGTGTATTATATTTTAGATAGCATTTTTTATTAAATTTGTTGTTATACATGCGAAATGAAATGAAATCAATTGAAAACAATTCTTACGTCGTTATTTCATTTTATGTACCAGTATATATTTTAAATACAACCGTTCTGAGTTTTATATACCCACTACTCATATGATTAATCAAAATGTACTTGCATTAATATTTTCATCCTGTACATTAATGTATTCCCTATTTTTGTTAATTTAGAGCCTATTTAATTAATAACAACTAGTTTTTTATTCAATCACAAACAAAAGTCTTTCAATGTTTTCAAAATTTTGACACAAGTGTGATAGATCAATAGATACTTCGAGACAACATTTCTTATACGAGCATTTCATGCGTAAAATAGGTAGCACATCTATAGAACAATGCACAATTACAAATAAAACTTATATGAAATAATAATTTTAAGTTAAATGAAAATTAAGCATTTTTTCAACATAATACGATGTGCATTTTGTAAAGATTTACATTGAAAATATGCAAAATGTAAAGGCATCAAAATCCACGTCATAAAAAAATGTCTTAATCCTTAAATGAAACAATTTTTTATTCATTACTTTAGTTTGATATGTGTCGTAATAAATAAACAATTTTTGATCATTTACATTTAGAAACATGCATAGAAACCTGATATTGATAGACCTACCCTCAATTTTTCTTTATATGACCACCATTTGTCACCTCTAAATCACGTGACTTAGGTGATTGATGTTGAAAACAAACATCAGAATCATAAAATAGAATGATTAAAATTACATAAAATCTTATTTTTAAGAGTTTTTATTGTAGGCCGGAAAATGACCTTACAGATAATCATCCTTTAACCAGAACGTTCACTTCTACTCTATCCACATCACCAACAGGTTCCATACTTATAATTATTCTATTCCTCACAAATAGTTTTCATTAAAAGTAGCGGAATCTCTTGTATTCTCATCAAAATTTATTCTGATCTTTTGTTAAAAGAGATTTTAGACTGGACAGAGTTCAAAAAATTTCATTTGAGTTATTTTAACATTTCCATGGACTGACTATTTAAAACATTAACCTCTCTCGTAGCTAATTCGAAATGCATATCTGATCATGACTATAGACGACGATATTTACGGAAAATATTGAAGACAAATATTTTAGCTAGCATTGCCATCTTGAGAACTTTGGTTAACGATGTTCTTAATTGCTTGTGGATTTCAATTACCATCCATAATTTGAGTCCTTTCAAAAAGTGTCTTCTCTTAGATATTATTTCAAGTTCAATACCTCTAGACTCTTTTTTCAAGATTTTTTACTATCTCAGATGTAGTCTATGAAAATATTCCAAAGTACACATATGTATCGGTTTAGTTAAAAAAATGAAATAATAGTTTATATGCAATCAAACAACGAACGAATCTGAGAAAAGAAAAAGTCATCTTGGATCAGATGAGCTGGAAATTGCGCAATATTCTCTCGTTAACTGTATTTGCGTCAACGTTTTTCTTAAACCACATAATCAGCTATTTAATCTAAAAGCACATTGATATCAAAAGTTATTTAAAAGCATAGTGAAGAAGGGGGAGGGGGTATAAAACTTACACTGTCTGAATAAGCGTGTAAAATTGCAAAAGCAATGAAGCATTCGTTACTTTCAATAAATACATTTGTTGAAGTCGTAACATATGGAACAATGGTGCCTAATGTTTGCTCATTTCTCGTTAACTATTATGATAAGTTATTTTGCCAATGCATTCCTTTCCCCCATGAGCATATTTAAGAGGATCTGAGGTCACATACGTGCCATAATAATATCTATTAATTAGCAATAAGACTAAGAAACCGAGAATTTAATGCATAGGAATTGTCGGGTTAATATCTTTGCCCTTATTATACTGCAAAGAACTTAAGGGAATAAATGTGAGAGAGAAAGCACCGGTTTCAAAAATACTATTTCTTTTAGTTAAAAAATCTTAATTAGAATAGTTATTAGGCTTTGTTGGAAAACGGACTCATTGGTATTTTTCCTTTGATGCTTGCCCGTTTTATAAGAAAGCATATAAATTCATGAACATTGAGAGGTTTATTGCGTCGAGGGAAGTATTCATAACTAGAATCCCAATAGCTAAGGGCATTCAATAGCAATGTTTACACCCAAAAACGTTTTATGGCAAGTTATTGACAAAATATACGATGTTTTTACGATTAAATAACCCATAGGGTGTTTTTGATTTTTTTTGTAATTTCATCAGAGCGAATACAGAAAGTTCCTCAGGCCTGGTTGTTTAAATCAACAAACTCTTTTAAATAATATTGCTTATAAATTTTGTATAGTAAAAGTACAACTGTAAAACACAAAAGTGTCTAATCTGCGGACCTAAGAAAGAAAGAGATCGTGAATAGCAAAGCATGCAAAAATATATCGAGCCATGGGTCGTATATCTTTACGTGAAAATACGCCTAAAAGGGAAGTAGTTTAAAACAATTAAATAAAAAGCAAATGTGTATGATTTAAAATTACTTACTTTCCGCTGTGTGAAAAGATTATGGAAAACCCCATTATTTTCTATTTTCGACGATGATCACAAATGAAACAAAAAATAAATAAAATAGCTTGAAAGGAATAAAAGACGGTTGCAAATATGAAAAAAAAAATTAAATTTCTTTTTTCTCGAAATCTTATGAGACGATAAATTAAAAAAAAAACACCTTATTTAAATAAATATAGAAATACAAATCTTCAAAAAAAAAGCAATTTTTCACGTATTAAACTGTATTCTTCGTTCTAAAAAAAGCCAACAACATGTATCTCATATATTGGATATACAATATCATATTCATTCGTTTGATTTATCAGTATTTCAGTATTTTTGAATTGTTGGCTGTATATATAAGCATGTTTGAAAAATTGGAAACAACAATTGCATAACTCATGAAAATAAAAAAAAATCTTCACATAATGTACAAGATCACATGTAACATAAATGATGTACAAGATCAGATGTAACGTAAATAATGTACAAGATCAGATAAAACATAATACCTTGCACTTTCGGCATAACCCAGAGTGACCATGCAAAGAAAATAGATGGCAAAGTACCTGGAAACAGAACTCAGAAAAATAACTACATACCATGGCAATGAAGAACAGAAAATATAAACGATGCATGAAAAATTAAAAATTAAGAGTCTGAGATATAAAGGACTACCGTGCATTGCTGAACACAGTAATATCGCTCTGTACGGGTCGAATTAAGACATTCATGAGGCTCCCCAATCCGACAATCGTCAACACACGCTCCATGTCTTAAGGAACAAAAAATTCAGTTTATTTCATAATGTATTGTTAATTTCTTGTATGTTACACATTGCATAGATCTAACTACTTGTATATCCACACCAGAATGATACAATTACCTTCTCTTAAGGTATTCAATGTATAATGAAGGGATATTTTGAATCATTTTAAACTAGTAAAATATGTATTGCTAGTTAACGATGAAATGAAATGAACCAAATTTACATTACTGATAACATATAAGCCGACCATTTTGCACCTTAAACGTTTTTAAAGAGTTATCTGTACTTGATAAAAAGAAAAAAAAATTAAATGTTGTCAAAGTATCTGTGGTAAATGTTTATTTCATATTTTAATAAAGAGAAAGTTTATGCATACTTTCACCAAGAGATTCTTTATGAAGTTCAAATTACTTTTTAAAATATCTTAATAACACATACGCTGCCCATAGACTTCAATGTAAAATTCAAGATGTAAATAACTGGACAATAATCAAAATTTTGTAAATTCCTTTGGTGGAGTATTTTTATTTGATAACACCTTCAAAACACTACCATGGTGAAAAATATCGGACCACTCATTTATTAGGTGCAAAATATTGTCGTTATACATTGATTACCTTAACATAGGTGTTTGACCGCTATATTTTAAAATGATTTACTGTACTTCGTGTACATAGTTTTCATACAATGTCGTAAGATATTTGAACCAGTAACTCTCTTGCAGTCACGGGAAGCTTAGGAATGTAATGTAACTTATATCACTTCCTGCTAGATCACGAACCAGGACAATAACAAAAGAACCATTACAAGTGTAGATTCGAATCTTACAGAAATTGGAATCATGTACTTCGACTCATTTTTCAAAGAACGCGGAAGATAGAAAGACATGACATTTAAAAGAACAGTCATAACATTTATATTGAAGTATGTTTAAAAATGTTTATAACTCTGTAAGTATTTGATATTCAAAGCCAGAAACAGTACCACACATTGCAAACAATCAATACTTTTCTATATAGTCAAGAAACTTTAATTTGATCTAGAAACATGAAAGTATTTTTTTCTCATTCTGTCAAGAAAGTTATGAATGAACACAAGAGTTACAAATAAATTTCTGGTGCATGTATCCTCAATTTTCAAATTAATTTTACATACACATAAATTATTCAACTGCAAATAGCATTACATAATGTGCATATCTTAAAAACTGATTTCAAATAAAACAACCCTCAAGATATTTAAACATGGCGGCTGTTGTTAAAATTTCAACTGGCAAAAGAATAATTTTCAGTGAACAGTACTAGCAAAATTAAACAAAAATCGTCTAGCCAAGGAAATAAATATGAAAATGGTTGCTGAAAATTGCAATTGAAAGAAACTGTTCAGTTCTCTTTCAAAATTTTAAGATCTATCATGTAATGTTAAGATCTATTATATAGTGTTTTAAAGTACAATTAAAAAAATCGACAACTCCATCTTGCCATTAAATGAAATCTTGATTTAAAAACCTTCACATGGAAACTTTAAATGACTGTGCAGTTTTTGTGTCGCCTGCGAAGACTCTCTATCTATTAAAAAATAATAATAATCTTTTGGATCTAAGAGGTACGCCTAGGAACTTAATATTTAACATGTGTATATTGCATGTTACAAGAGCAGAGCTATTTAAATGTAATCATGAAAAGATATATTGCATATTTTAATTTTTCAAAGTAGAAAAAAGTCACATGGTAGTTTCGGTATTTTAGATTTTTTTTCTAATTTCAAAAGATACAAAGTACCTTGCATATTTTCAATTTTCAAAGTAGATAAAAGTCACATGGTAGTTTCGGTATTTTAGAAAAGGTTCTCTTTGATAGAATCTTAGAGAGTTTTTCATACATCCAGTTCATTGTCACAAGCTTGCAATCATGTTAGTAAATTTGATATGGAAAACACATGCTAAAAATCAACGTCCTGAATGTCTTATAACTTGATTGTCGCTTTTCAGAAAACTCTTGTTACTGGTTCTTTCTGCATTTCTACTTTTTATACCAAACTGTTCGTGTGTGTTCTGAAACACTCTACATTTGAAACCAACCAATGAGAACATTTTTTTTTTCGCCACAAATATACACAATATGTGATTTAGATAAATAAAAAATTAGTTACACAATCTTCGCAGAAATTATATTGATATATAGAGGAAGAATGTTATTTTCATAAAGAGAAAAGATTTTGAAATAAATCAAGGTAGGGAATTTCGCTACCAAGTTTCTCAAGCAAAAGAAAAACCATAAAGGCATTATCTGAATATTGAATGAATAATTGCCGATTATTCACATACCTTTTGAAAAGATGCAGGTCTTTACTGTCGCCTTGGATTTAACACTCCTGTTCGTCAACAATCCACATTACATATCGAATAAACAGAAAACTGCATGGAAGATACCGCCGCTAGGAATAATAATATTTTTTTAGTACAAAATTTCTTTACAGGTGTTCTTTTCAAATTCAAACATAAAAACCTCGATATGAATATGTCCCATGAAGCAGTATTATATCATATATATGTATATACCAGCTCTCAAAACCATCCATTAAACTGAATCAATAATTATTACAAGGGAAGGGTCAGATAGCGCACATTTAAAGTTCCTCATTACTGCTTTGACTACCCCTGCTTGATGTCTGCACACAACGGAGTGGTGAATAAGAAACTAATCTACACTCTGTTTCTCTCACACGTTAATGTGTACTATGGCAAGAGAGAGCCTCGCATATGTCAATCAATTCACAAAATGCTAAGCAATACCCTCTTTTTTCTGTTGGCTATTACAGACTGCAGTTATTTGTAAATCAGCTCGCCTTAAAAAAAACAGTGTCAAATATTCTCAGTAAAACCAAATTAACAGAAAAAAAAACTTACATCCATTGCACAATTATACTTTTGAAGGAAGCATAGGGAGATAGAAAATTAATTTTTAGGTACGACACAAAGCACAAAACATTATTGTTGGTCTAGAAGAAACAATGACTGAAAATCATTTTGGTAGTTGGCGGTCTGCATGTAATGAGATGTATTCGAATTGATTTATAAGTCTTGCAATAAAATAAAATCTTGATTTAAAAAAATTATATGTTCTTATGTAAAGAGTCGTCTGTGGTCTTTAATGAAATAACTTAAGGAACAAAACGCCTTCCATTTGCTCATTTAAAAGGTATTTTTCAAAGGCGAACTTTTTGCCACAGGCCTTAGTCGACTTTTTTTTAAATATTCAGTAGCAGAAATAAATAAGTGTAAATTTGCAGGCCCGTAGTACACCGGGGGGGGGGGGGGGGGGCAAGTGGGACTCCACCACTTTTTCTGAGTATAGACTTTCGCTGTAGTTTTTAGCTCTACTGGTCAGAGACCAGAAGAGCTTATGCGATAGTAAGGTGTCCGTCGTCCGTCCGTCCGTCTGTCTGTCTGTCTGTCTGTCTGTCTGTCTGTCTGTCCGTCTGTCTGTAAACAATTTTTCAAAACGCTACTCCTCCTACAGTTTTGGTCCGATTTCAATATAACTTGGCACACAAGTAGACTACACTAAGATACATAATTTAGTGCATCGGTTTTTGATTTCGATGGACGGTGTTGCCATGGTTACTAAAAATAGAAATTTCTGTGAAATTCCTTTAAAACGCTACTCCTCCTACAGTTTTGGTCCGATTTCAATATAACTTGGCACACAAGTAGACTACACTAAGATACATAATTTAGTGCATCGGTTTTTGATTTTGATGGACGGTGTTGCCATGGTTACTAAAAATAGAAATTTCTGTGAAATTCCTTTAAAACGCTACTCCTCCTACAGTTTTGGTCCGATTTCAATATAACTTGGCACACAAGTAGACTACACTAAGATACATAATTTAGTGCATCAATTTTTGATGGACGGTGTTGCCATGGTTACTAAAAATAGGAATTTCTGTGAAATTCCTTTAAAATGCTACTCCTCCTACAGTTTTGGTCCAATTTCAATATAACTTGGCACACAAGTAGACTACACTAAGATACATAATTTAGTGCATCAATTTTTGATTTCGATGGACGGTGTTGCCATGGTTACTAAAAATAGAAATTTCTGTGAAATTCCTTTAAAACGCTACTTCTCCTACAGTTTTGGTCCGATTTCAATATAACTTGGCTTACAAGTAGACAACACTAAGATACATAATTTGGTGCATCAATTTTCGATTTCGATGGACGGTGTTGCCATGGTTACTAAAAATAGAAATTTCTGTGAAATTCCTTTAAAATGCTACTCCTCCTACAGTTTTGGTCCGATTTCAATATAACTTGGCACACAAGTAGACTACACTAAGATACATAATTTAGTGCATCGGTTTTTGAATTCAATGGACGGTGTTGCCATGGTTACTAAAAATAGAAATTTCTGTGAAATTCCATTAAAACACTATTCCTGCTACAGTTTTAGTCTGCTTCTAATATAATTAGGCATACAAGAAGACTATACTAAGATACATAATTTATTGCATTGGTTTTTGAATTCGATGAACAGTGTTGCCATGGTTACTTAAAATAGAAATTTTTGTGAAATTCCCATTAAATGTTACTCCTCCTACAATTTTGGTCTGATTTCAATCTAATTTGGCACACAGTTAGAATACACTACGATACATAATATGTATTTCTGTTTTTTTTATTTGGGTGAATGGTGTTGTCATGGTTACTAAAAATAGAAATTTCCGTGAAATACTTTCACAACGCTACTCCTCCTACAGTTTTCATTTGATTTCAATGTAACTTGGCACAGAAGTAGACTACATTAAGATACATAATTCTATTCATTGTTGCATGTTGCAATGTTTCAAATCCAAGTGCTACTTTTCTTTTGTTATACAAACAGACCAGCAGAGCTACAGTCTCATCAGAGACTTCTGGTTATATGTTAATTTTCATTTAGATTTTTTTTACCTTTAGCTTGTCATCATTCTGGGGAAGGTCGGGGAGGGTGGGGGCACTTTGAAAAATGTTACTGCTGAGAACAGAATTTACATACATGTATATTTTATTTGTCTGAATGCTTCTAATCTAACAGGGGTACATATGTTATATGTTCTTGTCGAAACTAAATAACAACGGAAGAGCAAATAATCCAGTTTCCCTTTTTAATCTTATTGATCTTTATGTCTATGGATTTTACTGCATCATAATACAAAAGTGAATAGATCAAGTGACCTTCGATGTCACCTTGACCAGATTTATCGCTGCATTGGATGCGTATGAAATTCAAGTACTATACTGAATAATATATGTGATTGTACTTATTCTGTGTCATTAAAATATATTGCAGGATTGTGGTTGATTTTCCTGGTTGTGAAGAACGAGAGGTAATATTGATAGAAAGTCAATATTAACACATTTACAATATTTTGATATTGGTTAGATCTGGAGATTACTTTCTACCTGAAATTTGTTCTTTTTTTACGACACTAAATCTTAGGTGAAGCATACAACAAATATCATTTAATCAATCTATGTAGAAAATTTTCATCAATTATTTAACACCAGGTTCAATACTCTCTGGAATAAGATTAATGTTTTCTGTTTTGATTGAAGTTTCTAGAGCGTATTGCACATCATTATACATGCGTAAATTTATTTACAAATTATTTTAATTACAAAATTATTTTACAAAAATTTACAAACGAAGGTCCTATTACTCAACTCATTTGTTACACTGAATTTTTACAGTAGTTTTATATATGTACGAGGGTTTTCCATAAAGTTCGTGAGCAATGACGTTTTTGTCAAACTGAATTGTCCTAGATAGACCAAATATACCAAAATATTTCAGATGAAAATCCAGGTGAAAAATAGTTTAGTTTTGACTGTTTTCACTTAATGGCCCAGGGTTAAAATGCAATAAACTTTAAATCAAGTTTTCGGATTGAAATGATTATTTTCTTCATAAAACAAGACAAAGCTTAAAGCGGCTGTCGTCAGTTTCTGATATTACTTGGACAGGCAGTGAAAATACATGTACCAAGAAAAAAACGCAAGAAAAATGCCTTCAAACATCTTATTTAAGGTTATATTTAGTCTGAGCGATGGCTGAAATTGTGTTGTAAACCAGATACTTTATCATTAAATCATAAGTAGAAGTTTCATTATGTATACAATGTACAATCGCATCACCTCGGGCCTTTCCGTCAGAGGTCGGAAAAACAACCTCGAATGTATTAACATCACCGGACGTTAAAAATTTATACAAGATGGAGTTGCTTCCTGTTTATTAAAGTATTGGAAAGACATAGTTAAAAGTCACTCCTGTAGTATATTTTAGGTAATTTTACATTCAATAAAGTTGAGCTCCAAACTCTATAGATAAGAGGTCTCTCTACATTTATTTCAAAGCTTATAAAAGGGGGGGGGGGGGTCATGGACGCCTATGTAACACATTCGAGGTTATTTTTCCGCTTGTCGGGAAGACCAGAGAAGTTTCGATTGTGTATACTATATACATGACAATTTCTATTGTAGGAGTGAATGATGTTTTGAATATCTAAGACTACAGAAAATTGTTTTTGTCATACATGTTTACTCTATCGCTTAAGGCTGAAGTCATCGTCGCAAACCACAGCCAAAATGTACGATCATCTCCCATTCTGGTAGGAGATAGCTATATGCGGACTTTGGACCGTGACTTGAGACGATGGGCGGAAGTCTACCGCTTTTTTTTTTTTACTCCATCTTCCGCCTAACTTTTTTATTCGTAAATCTACCGCTTTTCTACAAAAATCCATTTTTGGTTCGCTTGAGTAGTCATTTTTGAAGCCACTCGTCATATAACCTCGTTAGATATCGCGTGATTTGAACAGATCATTTAAATGCCTTTTTTATACGATGTTTACACAGATTTCAAGCACGTTTGTGACAACGGCGGGAGCACAATTCTTCGTGATTACATTGGTTACGATAAATTTCTCCGAAAAAAAGGGAGATATAGTATTCTAGTAGTGGATGAATACTTTTGACATCGTTCAATAAAGTAAAAAAAGGGAATCAGCATTCATTTAAAATACTTTTTTTGCATTTCTACTTTCGTTTTCGGTCATCGCGGGAAATCCGATTTTTTTAACGAAAGATAAGCACGAGTGTTTGATCTGAATTAGGCTAATTAATGTCATCTTTCCCTGCATTTGACAACTGAAAGAACATTCAGAATTATTGCTTCCAGTTAGGCTATATCAACAAAGATCATTCTTCAAAAGGCTAAATTAAGCAGCCATTCAAAGCCAAAGTAATAAGCATGAAAAATATTTATATTTGTATATATAATTTATGTTAAAGGTATTTTTGTCTTCTTCATTGTAGTTAATATTTGAGTTTAATTATTGCAGGGGTCAATTTAGGCAATATTTACATATATATCTTCGATCTTAAATCAATGCGTAAAACAACACGCGCAATACTATCTTTTTTGAGGTCTGAATCTCTCTCTTTTTCTTCACAGTATAGGTTAACATGTATGTTTTTGTTTAATGTTTTCATAAAAGTCCGGAAATTAAAAAAAAAAAAATGAAAAAATGAATGAAAACCAACTTTCCTTCTGTGTTCAATAATTCAAAAGTGAAAAAAGAATTATTAGATAGATTAGTAAACATGATCAGTATGTACTGGTCCCTGCATGCTGACAAAGCAGGTAACAACATT